GAGCTTTCAAAGTTTACAGATACAATTCTAGAACCTCTGCTGCTGCTCTGAGATTTGCCAGGCTATAGCAGAAGAAACACTGACAAGTCCAATCAACTTTCAGTCCTTCAACTCAGACTTCCATCTGCAGCAGTACATCTGGGAAGAATCATGTCAATGTGTTGCTATTGTCCAGAGTAGTCAAAAGCAGTTTGAGAAAGAAACCTGGATCTGTTTCAAAAGGGGAGGATAGAAAAAAAGTTAGTTTACCAGGCACATATTCCTGGACACCAGCTCTTTGAGGAAAGGCGTAAATAAACGGCTTCTGCTCTTCAGAAATTACTACACAAGTACTTTTGTTAAAAAAAAAAAAAAGAACAGTCAATATAGATATTTTCATTACACATGTTTTTCTGAAGGTCTACAAATTAATGTGGGGGGGGGTCCATCTATACTAACAAATAGCTTCTCAAAACAATGGCATTTCCTGACTTTTCTTGCAGCATTTGGAAGGCTGTCCATTCTTGTTATATCTGCTCATAACTACCTTCACTGCAGTGTTGTGCATTTCACAGTCTTCCTTGCATTTTTCTCACTTCTTTTAAACAACTGCATGGAAGTAACCTCATTACCTCTCTCCCCTCAGCCTGTCTTTTCCTCAGTTTATTGCCCCTCACTCACTCCACTGTAACTAAAAACAGAAGCTATCTATAAAATACCTAACACATTTGGGGATGTACATAAACTGCTATTCCACAGCTATTTTATCCACACGTATATTTATGGTTAAGAGAATCAGTTATCTCTGAAAGGATACTGCGGGTGGAGGAGAGAATTTCATGTCAAATCATGTCAAGTACAACAGGCATCTTCCACCAAACCTGTTACCTCTTTCTCCTTCCCACCCCCACAAAGGTTTTTCAGCTATTCTGATGTGTTATGTTCCTCTCATGATTAGGGTAAGTGCTGTTGGGAACCAACTCAAAGTATGTAATTATGTGCCAAACTCATACCACTAACTAGGTAAGAAAATTAAAGCAATTTTAGAAAATAACCTATTTCTTGAAGCATATTTTCATAACAGACAGACATACCACCACTAACAGCACATATGCAGTAAAACCTAAGAGTTTGCTTTAAGTAGTTCTCAGAATAGCAACAGAAGAGTCTCTCTCATGGATTGCCAGTGGTCAAATACAGATTGATTTTTTTAACCCCTAGTCTTTGCTGAGCTTCAGGAAAGAAGTCAGACAAAGTCTCTATTAACAGTTCTTTCCCCATTTCTGTCAACAAATTTAATTTGTAACTCACAGATAAAGCCAGAGGAGTTCCACAGCAGTGCCCCAGTCTGCCTCCACTATTAATATAGCACCCCCTCCAATGATGCATTCTGATCTGAGTAGTACAGATGGTCCACTGCTTTCTGTGGCTCTGCAGGCTGTCCTCCAATATTAAAGATGCTTAATCTGTAGTGGCTCTCATGAGAATTACGTATGCCTCTTACTTTCTCCCTGATTACCCATATGAACTTGACAAGTCTGACCACTTCGGTTTTATATTTAAGAAAGTACTATCAGGAATATATGAAATGTTCTTCAGCCGGGGCATCTAGTTGACCTTCATTAAGCCTATGAAAGGATGACTGGTGTCAGTTCTACCCCAGGTGGCATTTTTAACATGCTACTGATATGTATTGCCTGGCACAGATGTAATAGGCACTGTGTGTGCAAAATTAGTCACTGACAGTGGTTTGCACACACTGGTGCTCCCAGCTAATGCCAGTCCCCGCACAACTGCCAGGGGGACAAACCCAGTGCAACTCCACTGCAGTCAGAGAATTCAGTTATTACAACACGACCCAAAGCAGCATCTAACTACTCCTGTCACAGAGAAGTTACAAACACGTAACAAATCAATCCTGCTTCGAGTCTCCTTTTGCACTGAAGCTGTCAACCATCATTTCAAATCATTATATTCTGTTTGTGAAGTGATAAACACATTTTTATATGTGGATTGGGAAGAATCTCGTTCGCAATCAAACAAGGTTCTCAGGGGAAGGCTGGCATCAACATTACTGCTGTAATCTAGCAACATGCTGTGCTTGCTTATAGTTTTCTACCCCCTGATTTTTTTTTCCCCAGGCAGTCAAAAATTCAAGAGAAAGTATACAAATCAAACCCCCAGTACTAAGTATGATTCTCAAAGATTAGTTACACTGATTTACCTACACAAACTATAGCTAAAGCATTTTTATTGGCAAGTATCTACATTTTTTTAAGAAGTCAGGAACAAAGCTTCCAGACTTACGAGAGCACTAAATTACTACTCAGACTCATTCTTCTGACTCACTTGCCTTATGGTGGCAAACTCTACAGCAAAACTAAGTATTTATCATGGAGAAGCTTACTCGCATTACAAAATCTCGTTCCTAGTTTGCAATTTTATTTTAAATTAAACAATTATAAATCAGTTGCAAATTTCCCTAGGACCTGGTATTTGAAGAATTATCTTCAGCAGCGCAATGTACTTTGGATGCATCCATACTATTCTTTCTGCTCACTACTTTGACGTTACTGTTAGAGCCTCCCGGCGACACAGAATCCGTTCGTCCTCTGCCAGGTTCAATAGCTACACGCACCCCCAAGCCCACGGGCACAAACACGCTCTCCTGCAAAAACCACCTGCAAAAACCCAGCAGGGCCGCCAAAGAAAGTAAGAATAATTGCCCTGTTTTACTTATTACCTTCACATATTCATAAATAATGTAGTCGTTGACTACTTACATTAAGTACAGCAATAACCACAGACTTTCACTTCTGAAAATACTGTAAGAGAACAAACGCCAAGTGCCTTAGGACTGAAAAGTAGGCGAAACCAGTTACTATTCCACAAATACACTCTACCAAGTGCGCGGATCATTTTGTAGCCGTATACGGAAAGCAGAAGCCTCGCTGTGCCCGGACGGATGCAAACGCACACAGGCGCTCGGAGCCCCGCGGAGCGCGGCGGAA